TTGAACCCAAATCTAAAAAGCAGGGCTCACTCAGGAGGGATTCTACCCACAGGCCAGCACATTCACTCTGGAGTGGTGCGCCCTGAGCTGCTCAACGTATGGAACTGACAGGTTCTGTCTTTCCACCTCTTTCTTTGGCAGGCATGGATCTGTTTTTCATTGTCTTTGCCACATGTTCTTTCCTTGGTTTATGTTGCAATTGTTGACTTGTAGAGCATCAAAAAGAAACAAAGCAAACCTCCAAGAACAGCAGAATTTGGCCAGAGCCAAAAGCAACTCAGAATTTGAACTGAACTTATTCAAAGCAGGGCAAGAAGACGGAGGCTTATGAAAATACCTCTTATTTGATCCAAAGACTGAAGCCAAAGCATCTGTGTCCAGAAGCTCTTTTTCATGATGAGCCTCCGATCTCAACTTGCAAAAAGCCAGCTGGACAAGGGGAGGCTGGCAGCTGCATCTCCAAGAACTGAAGCCACAAACCCATCCCGCTTTGGCACCGGAGTCTCGATCCCCATGGAGCTTGGAGAGCTCTAACAAATTCCACACCCATGGCAGTAGATCTATCCCCACATTTAGAGTGATGTGCATTCCAGGCACACTGTGTCCATTAACTTAGTGATACATTCTATTATTCTACTGATTGCATCAGCCCTTGTCTCAATTACCCAAAGATGCCGTGACTGTAGGACTCCAGATTTACATTATAGAGGCTTCCCCCACCACAGTCCTGGCCCCCAGCACCGAGCCTGAGACATGTATGACTTACGCCACAGAAGCCCTCTATGTGCCCAGCCCCCACATCTTCAGGAGTAGCCCCTGTCCTGACTTCTAACAGCACAGATCAGTCCAGGGTAGACAGCTCAGAGGACAATCACCTTGTTATTACACGTGCAGTCAGTAAGTGAATATGTTGTCCATCCTATCCCCCATATTTCATTCATTTCTCCACTTAGAGGCAATGGAGCTGAGAGACACAAGTCCCATTGCCAGAGTTTGATTCTAGCCCGGCCATTTCTTATCCCCATGAGCCTTCTGTTTTCTCATCTTTAAAATGAGTGCAAAAACATCAGATTACCCCGAGGAGTAAATAAGATAATGTGTGGGACATATTGCATAAATGGCTCCCCCAGCCCATAGGAAGCAGCCTCAGTCCCTTCCCTTTCCTCCTTCCTTCTTTCCTCTATTCATTCCTGCTGCTCCTCCTTTTTTTCTTTCACTCATTCATTCTTTCTGTTCGTCTTCATCAGCAGTGTCTCCTGGAAGCAATTCTGGCCTTGGTAGCTGCTGGCACAGCCACTTTCCAGGAGGACGGGCCCTGGCAGCTCTGAGGCTCTTGCGCTCCCCCGTTCTCATACCACATGCAGGAAACCACTCATGGGGTAGCCCCAGAACTCAGTGGGGCAGGCATGGTGGTGGCAAGGTCTGCAGTTCCCACCTGCCCTGTCCTGATCCTTCCCATGAGGCTGCCCTGGCTCCAGACTCCTCCCTCTCAATGACCCCTGTGCCTCCTTCCACAGCAAATGGCACCACCAGCCCCATGTTCCATGGCATTTCCTCCCCCAGCCTGGCTTGCAATCTGTTTCCCGATCCTTTCATGTTCCTTACTTTTGAATTTCTAAAACATGCCCCTTCTTCCCCATTTCCACAGCCTTCATTTATTCCAACATTTTTCCTCTTGGATTACAGTGGTCCCCTCATCACAGATGCTGTGTCCAATCTGAGTTCTCATAAGTGCATTTCCCAGGTTGGATCCAGCCCCTCCTACTCCTCCAGCCCCACTGCCCATCCCCTGACCCACCAGGAAGCCCCCAGCACACCATCTCCCTCCTACCTGGCACCTCAGCTCACACCTCACCAGAGATGATCCACCCTCTTCGCCTCCCACTATGGCCTAGATCATGGGATCCCGGACTCCAAACCTTTATTTAGCAGCAAGTCCTCCTGCCAGTGTGCTTGGTGATGGGGGCACAGTCACATGCAGTCTCGTTTGCACAGAAGAGAGCAGTGACAAGGCAGTGCCTGTTTCCCAGGATCCTCCCTGTCTGCATCACACATGCTGAGCTGTTACAGTCTCATGTTAGGCAGGGTGGGGGCATGCTGGGTCACAGGAAAGCACATGGAATGGTTCTCACCACCTGGAGTCCATGGTCTGGCATTGTGAGTGCACCAGCAGGGGTGGTACAAAAGTTTCCAGGTGGCACCCATGGGTATAGCTGTCTCCTTAGTCCAAAGCATCCCTCACCAGGGGGGCTCAGCCACAGCAGCCTCCATTAAGAGATTCTCATGCTCTGGGCACTTCAGTGGGGGATCACAGAGAAACACCTTCACCCCTGTGTTGCTCAATCGGGCTGGGGCTGGATGGGCTGGGAGCTCACTGCTGGACACCCAAGTGGTGTGTTCACAGGATTGAGGTCACTGTCTGACCCATTACAGGTCATTGAGCAGCTTGCTGTCCACCTCTCTGACCAGCCTGTGAAGTGCACAGCCTCCAGAAAGTGTGCTCTGAGCAAGAGATTCTGCAGCCCTTCCCTCACACACCAGAGCCCCCAGAAGGGATTTCATGATTGTCCTAATGTTGCCCCACATAGAACTAAAAAGAAACTGTGTGGCTGCGTGCTATGGTTCATGCCTGTAATTCCCAGCACTTTGGGAGGCTGAGGCAGGTAGATCACTGGAGGTCAGGAGTTCAAGACCAGCCTGGCCAATGTAGTGAAACCCTGTCTCTACTAAAAATACAAAAATTAGCTAGGCATGGTGGCACACTCCCATAACACCAGCTACTTGGGAGGCTGAGGCAGGAGAATCACTTGAGTCTGGGAGGCAGGGGTCGGAGTGAGCTGAGATTGTGCCCCTGCACTCCAGCCTGGGCAACAGAGAAAGACTCTGACTCAAAAGAGAGAGAATGAGAGAGAGAGAGAGACTGTGTGTCTTCCATATTACTAGGACAAAAAAAAAGCAAAGAAACTATAGACTATTTAGCAAAATGTGGAAAATACAAATAACCACTGGAAGAAATATAAAATGGAGCATAAGAGGATGAAAGTAAGAGTAAGTACATCTGCCATAACAATATATGCCAATAAGATAAATGCAACTGGGGTAAAAAATTACTATGTGCTATATAAATGAGGGCTTCCCAGCAAAGTAGTCAGGAAGGTGAACAGAGAGGGACAGTGCAGAGATCCACATGGACAGAATGGGAAGAAAGCGGGGGCTTCCATGACAAGGTCACAAAGCTAATTGTCATAATCCTCTATGTGCCAGATTATACACCATTAAATATCTAGCAGAAATTGCTAAATGGAAGAGGATGCCCCCTTATAGATGTCCTCATTATCAAAAATATCTCTTGTCTTGTTCAGGTTTTGTTAGTAATACTTATAAGTACATGAAATTATAACATTTATGTTTACCTATTACTGTGATTTAAATCTTCATCCTCTCCAAAATTCATGTTGAAGTTTAACTGCCATTATAACAATTTTAAGAGGTGAGAGCTTTAAGAGGTGATGAGGCCATTAGGGCTCTGCCTTAATGAATGAATTAATACTGTCATCATGAGAGTGGGTTTGTTAGAAAGGGATGTATTTCAAAGAAGGAAACTACAGACACTGGGATCTGTTTGAGGGTGGAGAGTGGGAGGAGGGAGAGGAGCAGAAAAGATAACTGTTGGGTACTGGGCTTAATACCAGGGTGATGCAATAATCTGTACAACATTAAGAGATTCTCATGCTCTGGGTGCTTCAGGGGGGATCAGAGAGAAATACCTTCAGCCTTGAGCAGCTCAATCAGATGGGGGCTAGATGGGCTAGAAGCTCACTGCTGGACGCTCAAATGGGGTGTTCCCAGGCTCAGGGTCACTGTCTAACCTGTCAGCAGCCCCGTTACAGGTCATTGAGCAGCTCGTTGTCCACCTCTCTGACAAGCCTGTGAAGTGCACAGCCTCCAGAAAGTGTGCTCTGAGCAGGAGACTCTGCAGCATCCCCCTCACACACCAGAGCCCCCAGAAGGGATTTCATGATTGTCCTAATGTTGCCCCACACAGAACTAAAAAGAGACTGTGATGCGAGTATACCTATGCAACAAACCATCACATGTTTCCCTAAACCTAAAATAAAAGTTTTCAAAAAAAGGAAGCGGTGTGTTTTTCCTCTCTTCTCTCTCTTTCTCTCTCCCTCTCTCACTCTCCTGCCGTCTCCCTTCTGCCATGGGATACTACAGCAAGAAGGCTGGCCCTTGAAAGATGCTGGCACCTTAATATTGGACTTCTCAGCCTCCATAACCGTGAGCCTGTGAATTTCTGTTCATTATAAATCAGCCAGTCTCAAGTATTTTGTTATAGTAGCACAAATGGACTTGGACAGAAAATTGGTAACAAGAAGTGGGGATTGTGCCGTAACAAACACCTGAAAACATAGAGACAGCTTTGAAACCGGGCAATGGATAGAGGCTGGAAGAGTTTGGAGAAGCTGACTGGAAACAGCCTGTATTGTCATGAACGGAGCATTAAGAGCAATTCTGGTGGGCTGTCAGAGGAAGAAAGGGACTGTAGAGAAAGTCTGAATCTTCCTAGAGGGTACTGAGTGGTTGTTGATCAGAATGTTGGCAGAAATAAGGACAGTCAAGGCAATTCTGATAAGGTCTCAAGTTGAAATGAGAGAAAAGATATAGGACACTTGAGTAAAGGCCTCGAGTTAAAGTGGCAAAGATCTTGGCTGAATTGTGTCCATCCGAAGTGCTTTGTGAAAGGCAGAATATAAGAGAAATGAACTAGAATATCTGGTAAAAGAAATATCTAAGCGGCAAAGTATTCAGGGTGCTGTGTGGCTTTTCATAATTGCGTATACTCAATTTTGAGAAGAGAGAAATTATTTAAACACAAAATTGTATACTTAAAAGGAAAACACAGCTTAGGGCTTTGAAGGACTCTCAGCCTGGCCATGTTGTAGAGGATGAAAGAGCACTTTCAGGAGAGGAAACCAATGGTACGGCCAACTCACCTTTTGATAAGGAGATTAATGTGGATAGAAGGAAGCCAGAGGCTGTTGTCAATGACCCCCAAGGCACTTCAGAGATTATTGGTGACACCCCTCCCATCACAGGTCCAGAGTGCCAGGTCCTTCCTGGGGGAAGGACATATGTCAAAAGAGAGGCCTAGGACACCCTCCAGACTTTGGGGCGCACTGCCCAGGGCTGCCTCAAGTCTCTGCTTCCCACTTCTAATGCTCCTCAGCCACCCCAACCATGGCTCAAACAGACCAGGTACGGCTTGGCCCACTGCAGAAGGTACATATTATAAACCCTAGCAGCATCCATGCGGTGCTGATTCTGCAGATGCACAGGATGCAAGAGCTGTGAGGGCATGGGTGCCTCCATGTAGATTTCAAAGGATGTCACAGGCAGAGACTTACCACAGGAGTGAAGCCATTGCAGAGAGCCCCCACATGGGCAGTGCCTAGGAGAACTGCGGGAACAGGGCTACTGCAGAGTCCCCACTAGGCCTAATGGAGCTATGGGAGCAAGATCTCCTCCAAGACCCCAGAACTGTAGAGCCACCAGCATGCAACACCAGCCTAGGTGATCTGCAGGTACAAGACTCCAACCCAACAGAGCTGCTTTTGGGGCTGAGACCAGTAAAGCCATAGGGCTAAAGCTCCCCATGGCCTTGTGTGCCCAACCACCACCACAATGCGTTCAAAAAATGACATAGGAAGTCAAAGATTATTCTGAAGTCTTAGATTTACTATTGTTCTCTCTGCTGGGTTTTGAACTTCTTTGAGCTCAGTTACCCCTTTCTTCTTTCCTATTTCTCCCTTTTGGAATGGGAATGTCTATCCTACACGTGTTCCACCGTTGTATTTTGGAAGCACGTAACTCATTTCATTTCATAGGCTCACAGATGGAGAGGAATTTGCCTCAGGATGAATCATGCCTTGAGTCTTGCTCATAGCTAGTTTTTATGACACTCTGGACTTTGAACTTTTGAGTTGATAGAGGAATGAGTTAAGACTTTGGGGGCTACTGGGATACAATGAATGTCTTTTGTATATGAGAACAACATTAATTTTTGGAGACGAGCAGAATTCTATGGTTTGAATATTTGTCCCCTCCAAAACTCCTGATGAAATTTTAATTGCCATGGTATTAAGATGTTGAACTTCTATGAGGTGATTAAGCCACAAGTGTTCTGCCTTGATGAGCAGATTAATGCCCTTATTTACATGAGTGAATTCCTTATAAAGAGTGAGTTTGTCCCCTTTCTCTCTCTTTTTGCCATTCACTTTCCACCATGGGATGACACATTGGCCCTCAACAGATGCCAATGCCTTGGTATTGGACTTAACCTCCAGAACTATGAGCCAATATATTAATGTTCATTAGAAATTCCTCAGTCTCAGGTATTCTGTTACAGCAATGTAAAAGGGACTAATGCACTTGGTCATTGTCTATCTCTCCCCAACTAGACAATAAACCCCACACAATTCCAGAGACCTGCAATAATGACTATATCTTAAGCATTCAATACTTATTTATTGAATGAGTCCATGAGTAAATAACAAAATTAGAAATCAGAAAGGAAAATTTATTCCAAACACAAAGAGCACTAAAGGAATTGTAAGGGAATATTATGTTCAGCCATCTGGTAATAAGAAAACTCGAATAAAATCAAAATTTTTTTCTGGGAAAAGATAAATTAGTAGCACTAACTGAAATATAGGAAAAGGTATTCATATTTGGCTGTCCATAGAAAAATAGATCCATCTGTGTGTATGTGTGTGTATATACATATATACATATATATGGCCAGCTAAACATATATATATAATTGCGTATTTTATATTATTAATTAGAAAAATATGATTACAGAGTTAACAGCAAGTAATTCTATAGGGCTTATACCTGAGACAAATTACTGGGGGTTAAGGTAATTTCATCTTCAGCTTTAGCAAGTTACACCATATTTTTTTCCAAATAATTATATTATCCCCCAGCAGCAATGTGGGGGATAATGTAATCCTAAAATATACTGAAAGCTGAAGATGAGAATTTCTGTTGTGCTACATCCTTACCAACAGCTGGTATGTTTATACTTTCTATTTTTGCCACGTTGAAGAATTTTGAATGTTATATCATTGTGGTTTTAATTTGCATTTTTCTGATACCTAACGAGGTTGAGCATTTTCCATATGTTCAATGACTTTTTATATTTCTTCTAAATAATATAGCTTCAGTTTTTCTATTAGAATATTTGTACTCTTGATTTTTAGGTTTACTTATATGTCCTAAATACTAATCTTTTGTAGTTATATCTGTTAGGAATGTCTTTTCCCTGTTGTGGCTTGTCTATTCACTTCCTGCATGATTTTTGATGAACATAAGTTCTTAATTATAATGTGCCTGAATTTATTAATCTTTCTATTTCTGGAATGTGCTTTTTGGGTCTTATTTAAGAAATATTTCCCCACCCTGGAAGTCATAGTCATTCTCTTAAACATGTCCTTCTAAAATTTTTAAATCTTGCCGTTCACATTAATATCCTTAATCTATTTAAAGTTGTTTTGTGCATAGTATAATTTGTGAATCCAGTCTCATTGACCAATGTCAAATAGATGATCATTCATTACATATCGTGTTTCCATCTATAAAATAGTCTGTTTTTGTTTCCCTTTTTTTATATAATTGGTGCACTGTTTCTATTTCTCTACCAATACTACATTGTCTTAATTATCAAAGATTCATTAAAAATCTTAATTTCTTAGAAGTCAAGCACCCCCACCTAGCACTATCTCTTGAAGAAAATCATGGCTAATTTTGTTCCTTTCCTTATAATGTAAATGTTACTATTAGCTCATCAATTTCCATGAGAAATTAAGTTAGGAGTTTGATTCAAATGTTGTCAAATCTGTGGATCAATGTGTAGTGGATTAATGTCTGTATAAATATTAAGCATCCTTGTCCATGAAAATGGTATATCACTCCATTTATTTAGATTTTCTTTTCCAGTAAAGTTTTATAATTTTCTTTATAAAGTTATTATACAATTATTGTAAAATTTATTTCTATGTAACTTTCTTCACTTGTTTTACAAAAACTTATGTACCAATTACTACTAGTTAGGTACTTCTCTAAGCATTTTATATACACTAACTTTTCTCTCAAATATTAGGTATGTACAGTTATTGTCCTATTGTCCCACTTTTCAGATGAAAACACTGAAGCAAAGAAAGGAGAAATAACTTGACTAATGTCATATAAATAGAATGAGAGGGACTTTGAACATGAATTCATGCCATTAACCACTATACATTAATTTTAAATTAATTTCACAAAGGAGAAACAAAATCCTTTACAGACAATCAAATGCTGAGGGATTTTGTTACCACCAGGCCTGTCCTGCAAGAGCTCCTGAAGGAAGCACTAAATCAGAAAAAGAAAAACTCATACCAGCCACTGCAAAATCACATCAAAATATAAAGATCAATGACACTATGAAGAAACTGCATCAACTACTGTGCAAAATAACTAGTAGCATCATGATGACAGGATTAAATTCACACATAACAATATTAACCTTAAATGTAAATGGGCTAAATGCCCCAATTAAAAGACACAGATGGGCAAATTGGGTAAAGAGTCAAGACCCATAAGTATGCTGTATTCAGGAGACCCATCTCACATGCAAAGACACACATAGGCTCAAAATAAAAGGATAAAAAAATATTTACCAAGCAAATGGAAAGAAAAAAAAAAGCAGGACTTGCCATCCCACTGTCTGACAAAACAGACATTAAACCAACAAAGATCAAAAAAGACAAAGAAGGGCATTACATAGTGGTAAAGGAATCAATGCAACAAGAAAAGCTAACTATCCTAAATATATATGCACCCAATACAGGAGCAACCAGATTCATAAAACAAGTTCTTAGAAACCTATAAAAAGCATACTCCCACACCCACTGTCAATATTAGACAGATCAACAAGACAGAAAATTAACAAGGATATTCAGGATGTGAACTCAGCTCTAGATCAAGTGGACATAAGACATCCACAGAATTCTCCACCTCAAATCAATAGAATATACATTCTTCTCAGTGCCACATGGCACTTATTCTAAAATTGGCCATGTAATTGGAAGTAAAACACTCCTCAGCAAATGCAAAAGAACAGAAATCATAACAGCCTCTCAGACCACAGTGCAATCAAATTAGAACTCAGGATTAAGAAACGTAATCAAAACTGCACAACTACATGGTAACTAAACAACCTGCTCCTGAATGACTACTGGATAAACAATGAAATGAAGGCAGAAATAAAGATGTTCTTCAAAACCAATGAGAACAAAGACACAATGTACCAGAATCTCTGGGACACATTTAAAGCAGTGTCTAGAGGGAAATTTATAGCACTAAATGCCCGCCAGAGAAGGGACGAAAGATATAAAATCAACACCCTATTGTCACCATCAAAAGAACTAAAGGAGCAAGATCAAACAAATTTAAAAGCTCACAGAAGGCAAGAAATAACTAATATCAAAGCAGAACTGAAGGAGATAGACACACAAAAAAACCCTTCAAAAAATCAATAAATCCAGGAACTGGTTTTTTGAAAAGATCAAGAAAATAGACAGACTGCTAGCCAGACTAATAAAAAAGAAAAGAGAGAAGATTCAAATAGACGCAATAAAAAATGATAAAGGGGATGTCACTACCGATCCCACAGAAATACAAACTACCATCAGAGATTAATACAAACACCTCTATGGAAATAAACCAGTAAATCTAGAAGAAATGGATAAATTTCTGGACACTTACACCCTCCAAAGACTTAACCAGGAAGAAGCTGAATTTCTGAATTCAACCAATAACAAAATCTGAAGTTCAGGCAGCAATTAATGGCCTACAAACCAAAGTCCAGGACCAGATGGGTTCACAGCCAACTTCTACCAAAGGTACAAAGAGGAGCTGGTACCATTCCTTCTGAAACTATTCCAAACAATATGAAAAGAGGGAATTGTCCCTAACTCATTTTATGAGACCAACATCATCCTGAAACCAAACCCTGGCAGACATGCAACTAAAAAGGAATATTTCAGGCCAGTATCCATGATGAATATTGATGCAA